CTTTTTCGAGAAATATAATTTGAATTATCATCAATAAGAGGGGACGCCTAACTCATAACCCGAACAATCTTGATATTCCTGATAGTATTTGAAGTCCTGCGTTTTCTAATGTTCTGAACGTTTGTAAAAATTATCGGTCGCTACTACCATTTGCATCCACACAAGGAAGTAAAACGCAACAGGCAGGCATTTAGCTCGTTTTGCTAGCAGCTAACCGGTAGACGTTGCGCAGTAGTGAGTGGTACCTACGAGGAAGCAAACAGCCAATCTAATGGCCCCGAAGAAATGGCACACATACATCGAAAAGGCGATGGTTACTAACAGGAGTGTGCAGCTCAGGATTTAAAGAATTAGAAAGCTGCTCAGCTTGCGGGAATCCCAGTAAAGGACATTCCAAAAGCTCAATTGAACTTTTGTTCACAATCATCATTATCTTCTAGTAGCGCTTTTGCTTTAAATTTGCAGTGTGCGGCAGAGACTTTGTTTATTTTGACGGTAAATCATTGCCAGTAGACAATAAATAAATATATCAGTGTGTAGAGGAAGCAGTTATTCTTCGAGGACTTTACTTTCTCGTCAAAAAAATCGTTGCTTTGTAGTGTAGCATCAGACTTGCTCTTACGAAAAGAACAGTTCAAGATATTGATGATGCTATTTTTTCCGGTGTGCTGTAAATACTATGAGAATGAGATTGAAGGATTGTTCGCTTCTGGAAATTTCGAGTACATTTCAGGATATCTTCAAACGTACCGTTATTTTCATCCACACCAGGTCTGTGCCAAATGCTGAAGCAAATTAGTTGACATTTTCAACCGAATTTAGGAAACTTTTTGAAAAAAATTTATTAGACTAATGAAAGTTTGTTCAAATATTTGTTTACTGAATGTTGTTTTACTAAATGACCGCCGGTCCATTTACTACATCTGTCCAGACGATTGAGAAAGGCAGCTAAGATCAGTGCATCCGTTTTAATTACTAGTGGCATAACTGGCCTGTCAAAATGTTATTTTGTAATAGTTCCTATGAAGAATTTCTGAATTCGTAAGTAGTTTTATATTTTGCAAAGTTAAAATCATAGTTCGTCTCTCTAATTTCCAGCAAGCACTGATTCGTAAGGAATTCACATTCTTATCGCAAATTTGATAAGGCAGATGGATTTTTGCAAGAAGCAAAGTTTGAGAAAATTCATGCAGAAGCGATTGTGAGTGGTTCGAAGGAGCGCGACCAAGTGGATATCATCCAGGATTTTCACGGTAACATTTTTATTCTCCTGACGACGGTTTTTGTGATCATAATAATTAGCACATTCACAGTTTAGCACATAATTAGCACATTCACAGTTTTTGTGTGATCATAATAAAAGCAAACAGCCATGCCCATCCTTTGAAGT